TGTAACGGAGGCCAGCGAGTAGGTGCTGTGCAGGTAAACCTCACTCCCCTGATCTCAAGAGGCGCGCTAGAGGCTGTAGTCTTTAGCCACCTTGTTAGTGCGTCCGCCTCCCATGCCGGAGACCTGGGTTCGAGACCCACTCGGAACAAGAACGAGGTGTGGCAGAGAGGACCCGGGAGAGAGGGGTTACATATGTAAACATCTGTTATGTGAAATGGCTTATTCAGGACAGTACTAAATAAAAAATAACATGCAATTTTCATGATCCCTCTTATTTTGTTTCAAATTATTAACATTTTGCACATTCTGCAAGGGGTATGTAAACTTATGAGCACAACTGTATATCAAAAGGCACCAACAAATAAAAAAAAAATTAAAACACAAACATGATAAATGCACATTTAAGACTGGTATACACTACACCACTTTGAAATGAATGAACAAATTTTAAAACACTACAGGCATCATACACTTGCCGCCTTTGTCTAGCATCATATCATCACACATTCTGGGCATCATAGACTAAACAACTGAGGATCACACACAATTAGACTTTCAAGGCATTCTGAACTAATGTGCATCCTTGCTAGGATTTGCGACAAGTTAAAACTTGTGTTGTAAAACTGACTAAAAATATCAAATATGTTTGATATCCTCTGACTGGACGGAATCATAGTCTGAAACTAAATATGTGCTCTTCATACACAATGTGATTTTCTGTGAAATCCATCAACTCTGATTGGCTCTGGCTTTCGTCAATTAGCGTCAACTCATTCAGACACAAATGTGAGCAAAACTTGTGTAGTGTATTCCAGCCTTATCTAGATTAATGGAATTTGTGGTTATATTTGTGTACCTGGACCACAAAACCAGTCATAAGTAGCACGAGTATATTTGTAGCAATAGCCAACAATACATTGTATGGGTCAAAATGATCGATTCTTCTTTTATGCCAAAAATCATTAGGATATTAAGTAAAGATCATGTTCCATGAAGATATTTTG